GTTTGATACTAGCAGCGGCGACCACAGGTTTTGAAGTTAATAGCTGTTGTGGTTTTTTTTTTTTTTTTTTTTCGGTCGCTGTGATTTTATAGTTGGTGGTGCTGATGATGATTTTTTCATAGTGAACTGTTACTGTTATGATCTTGGGAGAGAAGGATGGGGGTTTTTATTTTTTTGACTTGTCAAAAGAAGGGTCTAGGTTTCGTTTTTTTTTCTCCTACAATTTTTCTATTTTGATAAATATTTTTACTTTCACGAATAGTTTATGTTATTAAGAACAGAAAATAACATTAAAAAAAATAGATCAACAAAGTCAAAGTTCATATGCCATATTATTTGCTCGATTTCTGTTAGTCATGAATGGCGTTACTAACGGAGGAAGACTAACAGAAGAAATATATTAGATAGGTTGTTGATGTAGAAGGATTCAATTAATTCTTAATTTGGTAGAAAAACTTGGTTAAATAATTTATTATTGTTCATAGATAGTACAGATCATTAACCTCTTTTATTTCTTTATTTACTAAATTTTACTTTAATAAATAACATCATTTATTATACGATATTTTTAAACTATATATACGTTGTGGATATATATATATATCGTTCATTGTGGTGTTTGTTCTAACCTCTTGTTGTTGTCTTGAAAACTGAGGCCCGTCCAAATTGTCAGCAATCTAAGGTCGAAGAAACAATACTGCAACCAAGGAATTTTCTTCAAATTTTCTCATCCATCAAAAGGAATATTCCTCTTTGCTCGATTATGAAGTAAGAAAAAATTTAAGAAGTTTTTGCATCAGCCTAATTCATTTGACCAGACACTTTTAGTTCATTAGCCTATTTCTCAAAATGTAATTAACTTTATCCGGTTTTATATCCTTGAATGGATACTCTAGCAATTAATTTTTAAATTTTTAGTCAATTAGTCTTGAATTCAAATTTTAAGACGATTGAGGAGGAAGTTCATCACCGAAAAAGACTTATTTTTCAAATAAAACCTTATATTTCTTGCACATTAATAGATGATTAAAAATAAATAAAAATATTAAAAGTGGTTTCACTTTTAAGTTTTTTTTATCTATGTAAATTTTTTTTTTAATAATTGTATTCGTTTTATCCGTTTTATTGAATAATAAAATATTAATCTGAATTTTGAAAATTGAAATACTTAAAAAAAAATCGATGTTGCATTAATTACTGTTTCGATCATACAATCAGGGAAAAAGTGGAAATGCTTGTTTCAATTCATTTTATACCTAATTCTGCAAAAGATCGTAAGTTTAGTTTAAGTTGGCATACAGGCCTTGAGATTTCAATGTGTATTATGTTAGAGAGTTGATATAAAACTGTTTATATATTTGGTCTTCCAACTTAATATTTTGAAATGATATAGCTAATATTGTGACAATATTTTAGAAAAAAAAATTGAGGATCAAATCCTACTTCTACTAATTATTTCCCACGACTTAAGCTTTGATTTATGCAGAATCTTACTTTATATTTATGCAGAACCTTGTGTTTGTATGAATTTAACAAATAAGTTTCGCTTCACATCTTTTAGGTGTAGACAAAATTATAATATTTTAATCTAGTGACAGAATGGAGTTACAAATATGCGGAATGAGAGGCTTTAAAGGTATGATAATTTTTTATTATTATTATTGTTTAAAAAAAATGATCTATATGGTGGGTTCTTGGGTTTAAGATATCAGGCTGGGTTTGGTTCTGGATTCCTTTCTCCTCTTCTATTTTGGGTTGGGACAAATTTGGAGCCACGGATTCGAGCTTTTCCTTGATTTGGATCTTAAGTTATACTTGGAAAGAAAACGGGCCATTAGCCTTTCCTTGTCTTTTCTGGAAGGCTTAATCTTTTTTTAAAAAAAAAAAAGAGGACGAAGAAGCAGATAGATCCTATTGAAGGGACACATGAGAGGATCCTTTCCATTGAGTATTTGTTGCACCAACAAAGAGAGGACAGAGGAGCTCAAAAAAGAGAAATTCATTCTAGGAGAGGGTTCTGATTTTATACTGATAAATATCGGAAGAATGTGCCTTGAATTTTGTCTAGAGTCTGATTTATTGCTTAAAGATGTAGCCCCCCACTTCACCACAACAATTTGTTTGTTGCTATACGTACGAAAGAAAATTTGTTTGCTTCACATTAAATGCACGAGTGGAATTCAATATGTGGGCCTTACGAATGTGATGAACAATTGAGTTACTGGTGGCATGACCTTCTGTGCGAATGTGTGTGTGCAGGCAAGGAAGAAAGGGAGGTACGTAGAGAAGTGATTTGATCCAGGATCAGCAAGGTACAAAGGTGAGAGAGACGGTGTATAAATATTTTTGAAATCAAATTCAATGTATTATTTTTATACTAAATAAGGTCTATTTACAAGTTTGGGAAGCAGGCGGATTTTATCAAACCATATTGAATGTTATGGGCTTATTTTTTATTCATTATTGTTTTACTTTATTTCATTAAATTGGTTGTTTGTTGTGGTATGTGTTGAATCTCATATTCCAGTTTTTCTAACAATTGGTAATGTGGGAGATTCAGTTTTGATCACGAACAACAATATATACTAAAGCTAAGCTTCAATTTATCATAAAACAATGAAAACAAAAACTTTAATCTTTTGCAACAAAGAGCGAAAGAAATCTTTATTCAATGGGCTCGGCTAATTAAAGCATTCAAGAGAAAGGATGGAAACCCAGAGGAGATGGAGGAGGGTGAGAAGGAGGAGTTGGAATCAAAGTCTGTGAGTAAGATTTGATTCTGTATTGTTTATAACATTATTAATAATGTTATAGATAAAGATTTGGCACCCTAAATATGCAAACAAATTGATAGATTTTTATTTAATGAAGAGTTTACCCAATAAGTTACATTTGTAGCAGTAACTTGACGAGTTGAAGATGAAGGAATGCGAAAATCTCATGGAATACTTGAATGTGTTCAATGAAATATTATATTAACCGTAGAAAGTTGATGTAAAGATTTAGAAGCAAGACAAGGCTCTTTTGTTTCTTGTATCTCTTCTTCGATTCATTTGAAAATCTAATCACAATGCTACAGTATTGCAAAAATAAAATAAATTTAGACCACATATAAGTCTGTGCTTTTATCTCATGATATGCAAAAAAAAAGGTCAAATTAAGAAAATAAATATAACTTTAGACTAGTGAACAAACGAGAGAATCAAAAACGAAAGTTAAGTTGAAAGAAGATTTCACAACAACAGGTGAAAATTGCGTGATGGTGGTCAATATGGCAATGTCCTTAAAATCTCCAAAAAATGCTAATATTTTTTCTTATGACGAGTTGAATATTAGATTCTACATACATATTCTATAAAAGAATATTTTGATGTATTCCAAAAATAAAATATTAGCATTGTGTCTTTGGATGGTGTAATATATTATGAGATTATGAGTTTTGAAATTGTGAAAATCAAAATGTTTGATGAAGTGATTCGTATTTTAGATGGTGCGGCCTATGTCCGAAAGATGTATAAAAATATCATATCGTTGAGCTATCTAGACTTAAAGGGATATAATCATTTTGCAAATGGTACAGTCTTGAAAGTCATTGATAGTGACACAATCTTGATAAAAGAAAAAAAATATGATGATTTATATTGTCCGATTAAAAAGATAATAACCTTGACGAGTAGTTAAAATTGACATATACAAGGTAGTAGTTATCCGAAAAAAGTCTTTTTAGTAATGAGATAAGAATTATCTATTTTCAAGATTCACACGAGTGCGAGAAAAAAGTTCATGTTAAGAGAGAGGATGAATGAAGGCCTCCTCTCTAGAGTTAACGAGTAAAGTTAACTTAGGACAACGATAAATAGATATTGACTATTTAAAAGTCATAAAAATCTATTATATAAATTTATTTTTTAAAAAATAAAAAAATAATGTTCTAAAATTTTATTTCAAAATCTATATATAAAGAAAAATAAATTATATTTGTTAACAAGTAAAATTATATAAACAAAAAAATATAAAATTAATTGAATCAGAATTTTTATAAAAAATAACATAATGAAAGAATAAATTTTAAATAATAAAAGTAATATAATCTAAAATATGTATTCGTTCTAAAATATAAAAACATATCATATATAATTTTTCTCCACAAAACTGTGTGGAAAACCTAAATGATAATGATCCATTTTTAATAATTTTTGCACCAAATTTAATAATAAAAAAACATAAATTACTGGAAAACAAAAGACAAGAAGAAGAAGAAGAAGAAGAAGAAAAAAAAAAAAAAACCAAGCTACCTATGCCATTGGGCCTGCAAAACTAAGCATGCCTAGTCTAGCCATTTTTTAAAAATTAAAAATTAAAAATTGGATGATGCATCGCTCATGCTGTGTGCGTAGAAGACCATGTATCGTCTGCCTGCAATCTCTAAATTATATGAAAAATTATAAGCACCAGTTTTTGGCCTCTTGAATCCAATTTCAACATCATTTTTGTTTCAATTTTTTTTAAAATTACTTAAATGAGATCAAGAAACTCGTTAAGAATGTAAAACTCATTTTAATGCCCATAAAAGATACAAAAATCCAAATAAAACTCAAAATATTTTAGAGTTTCAATTTATCTTCAATAATTTAATGACTTGTAACTACTATAAATATATTCTCATATTTAATGTGAACAGATTGAAAGCAAAATCAATTGTCAAATTTTGTGGGTCTCCACGTAACTTTCTCTTTTCTCCCTTCTCTCCTTTTACTTTATCTCCACGTTTAAAAATCAAATCACAATATAAATAAAGATAGAAATTGAAACAAAAGTGTTTAAAAAAAAAATTAAAGAACAAGGCATGTATAATATTTACAAAAACTTGCATATGAATTGGCCCAAGTTCGCTTGAAAATCACAATAATGCTAAACACAGTGAAACATAACAGTAACACTGAATTTGAATCCACAGTGCACTTTGGGTTGCAACGCATAGTGCACTGAACAGTAACTGTTCAGTTGGTTTCGTGGTTCTTTTTAACCGTAGGCATTGATGTGCGCAAGCAAGGAAGTAAAGGTGAATGAGATGTACAAAGAGCCTTGAGATTGGATGTGAGAATTATATCCAATGTATTATTTTTGTATTGATTTTTTCTTATAGTAAATAAGGATTACTTTCATGTCCGTAGAGTGGAAGAAATTTTGTTGAATCAAGTTAAATTTTGTGTATTCATTTTTATTTATTTCATTCCATTAAATTGATTGTTTGCAATAGTGTGTGTTAAATCTCGAACTTCAATTGTCTTAACGTTAAAGAAGGTTATTGAAATAATCCACTTTGTCAAGTTTATTGTACGTCCTTTAATTTTCTATAAAAAAAATAATGATCACATAAATTACTTCATGATGAAAATCATTTAGTAAAATTTAAAATTATGTAAAATTATTTTTTATTTTCTATATTTTTAATTTCAGAAAAAATATACTTATTGACTTCGAAAATTTTTGAAATATTTTCAAAAAATAGATCAATTTTTTTAAATATGCTTGCACAACGTCAGTTTAAAATATAAAATAAAAATTGAATTTTTTAAAAGGGTCAACTATAGCTGAAAATTATAGAATCTACTAAATCAAAAAAAAAAAAAAAAGTTCAGCAGAAGTCATCTAAACTTAGAAATTTAAGAGTTGACTTTCAAATTAACTAAAATCAAGGAGATGTTTGGTACATTTAACCTTATTTTCATCCTCCACAAACTTGAAAGTGGCTCGATTTTCAGATAAAATTAGCATGGAACAAAATTTTTACAAAGTTTTGAAGGACTCGAGGAGGAATAAGATGAAATTCTACTGTTAGAAAAAAGAGATACTTTATTTTTCTGAACGCAGGAAATGAGGTTCTCCACCGTATGTACTGGAATGGTGCAATATTTCTCTCAGCAGTATTATGCTGAAATAACAAGCTATTTATCCGTCCTTTTTTATTTCTTCTCTAGTTCTATTAGTCTTGATAAAATTTCTTCTCTGTACTCACCTCAGATATGCCGTGTTTCCAACACCAATCCTTCAAAAGTAATGAATGAGCTGGGTTCTACTTATTAAACAGCGCAAGTATCAAACAAGTACAGAGAAAGAGATGCGCCAATTACATGTCCTGTGATTCGTTCACATATATTTCCCACGACTTGAGCTTAATTTATGTAGGAATTTTGTTGAACTAGTTCGGCAATTCATATATACATATAGAGAGAGATAGATAGATAGATGAAAGCAACGAGTTGATTCACAGGAACTTGGGAAGAACTTCCTTCTCGATGTATTGAGCCATGACCCGGTAGGCTGATGTGCTGGGATGAAGCGCATCCCAAAATATGAACTTGGCAGCTAATAAATTTCCATATGTAGGAGTGGTTGGTCTGCATAAAACTTCGAAAAGTCCAGTCAGCATCCTCTCTTCGTTTCCAAAAATCCTGTCACGCAACACAGCCCATAATATTCAATTTCTTGCTTTTAATCTTCCTTGCTTGATGCAATTTTAGTTTACGATGAAATCTAATGCAGCTCAGTTTTAAGAAATGTTAATGCGGTGCATTAGCTTACCATATTTTTTGGATTCTTGACCATGTCACCCAGTGAATAAAAAATGTCGCTATAGACGATTTTGGTCCCTGAAAACGTTGCCTGTTGCCTGTGCATGGGCCAAAAGCTTGAAAAGCTTTAGGTTGTAAGACTGAGCATATGAATTTACATCAACCACCCATTTTTTATCCGAAGGAACAGCACCTTTATTGGTCGTATGAATGGTCTTCTCAATTGGAGCGTATCCTATTGGAAGTAGGCCATCCACAGTAATGGAGCGGCATCCGAGAACATACAGATCCTGTAAGTTCATAGATGATCGAAATTTTTAGGTCAATTCTCCCATAGTTACAAAATCAATTGTGCAATCAGAGAGAGATGCTTTCTTAGTGTGGTAAAATTTCGTACTGTATTCAGGATAGAATCTTGGAAACTAGAGTGTAAGTTGCAAGGCCTTGTAAGGACATGACTAGTTCATGAGGTATGAACTACCAAAGCACCAGCAATTGTCTGATTAGCATTTTCTTCTCCCACAATGCCCTTCAGCCTTGCAATATAGTCCTTGAACATGTGAATTTGCTTTGGAACTGGGATAATATTTAAAAGGGCGTTTGTTTGAAGATCATATCCTGCTCCTGCTGATGCGAAGTTTACACCGGTGAGGAGTTCTTCATCAGGCAATTTGGATCCAAGAATGGAGGGACAGCCTCTTTGATCTTCAAAGCACAGGATAACAAATCAGGAATTAATTTTCCATCAGAGAACCTCCCTGTGGCTTTTTGACCTGGATAGTTCTGGCGATATGGGAAAAAATTGCCCCTAACCAGTGTATTGATAAAATTGTTATTGCCTGTATCGACAATGGAATCGCCAAAGACCAGAATGGCAGGAAATTTTGGGAAAGGTCCCTGCCCTGCAGCATTACAGGCATCGAAAAAGATCACCCACATGTAAGCTGCTATAACACGAATCTCGATTTTTTGCCATTTTTTGAATGCTAAGTAATATGAATTTCATTAGAATAATACTTCTTAAATAAAGAGTGATTTTTTTTTGCAAAAAAAAAAAACTCCAAAACTATATTTCTTGTTGCCGCCGAATTTGTTGCCAAATCCTCATTATTGCCAATTCCTAATTCGATATTGAAGAATAACATAATTATGTAGTGCTTAATTACGTATAGAAAATACCCAACGAGTGATTATTGCCTCCACTATAATACTGTATGGATTTTAACAATTCACCTTTAAGATATTTACGCACACAAGAAACTCGTGGATAACACTCTTAAAATTCCTTCAAAAGAATATCTCTTAAAGTTATAGAGTTTTAAAAGGAAAAAAATTATGAAAGGAAAGGAGGATTGCAAAAATTAAATTAAAAACATTATTAATTAAAATAATTATAAATTTAATTACATTAAGAAATAAAAATAAATTTATATATTTAAATATATAATTCTAACTAATTAACTTAATTTGTCGTCCAATTCCTTAAACCAAATATTTGAAAATTTTACTAGAAGTCTACTTTATATGATGCATTTTCTTTCCATTTCTTTTTAACCGTGGGCTAAAAATCTCATTTGAAAACACTTTTCAATTTTTCTTATAACACACTTAACTTATTATCTAACATATTCAAGATTTTTAACATTTGGGGCTTTTACTTACCTTCCATGTCCTTGTTTCGCCCAAACCAAAGACAATGTTCATGGCCAAAGTTAAATTCCACTAAAATAATACTCCTAAATAAACATTGATTTTAATAAAATATAAGTCATGAAATATAATTCTTGCTGTTGCCGAATTTGGTGCCAAATCGCCATGATCGCCAATCAATCTCTCCACGTTTTTTGGCCTTTCCAAGCTTTGCTTAGTACTGACGCATTGGACAATTGGTTTCTTTCTTCTCATGGTCTTAATTCTCCTGTCATTGCTAATGTGTGAAAGCAAATGTTCCTAATTTGCCGCCAAATCCTAAATCTTAAATCTTAAATTCTAAAACCGTCGTTATCGCCAATTAATCTCTCTACGTTTTTGCCTTTTCAAGCTTTGCCTAGTACTGACCTATTGGACATTTTGTGGTTTCTTTGCTTCTCATCATTTCAATTCTCTATGTCATGTGTGAAAACAAATATTCCTAAAAAGTTCGTGATAATTATATTAGTACATAAACTTTATATTTTTTCTCAATTAAATACATAGATTTTATTTTTATTTTTTTAGTTTGAATACAGCCTAAAAATTCATGTCTTCATTAAATAAATATTTTTTTCCCTTTATCAAGTAGTTTGAAAGTATCTTCTTTATTTGAGTCATTTGTGTATATTGATTAGCCGGGTCTTTTCTAATCATGGTGGCCATTGGCAACTGGTCGAGATTATTCTGTTTAGGGCAAGTTCTTGGTTGGACGATCTTTAAATGAAGCATGAAGACAAATGTTATGATTACGATCATGCATATATATCACAAAATCCCTTATTGTCTTTGGCAAGTGTGCTTGAAAAAAACTCAATTTATGTTCGGACTTTCCAAGAAGCTACTTGGCGATGTCTAGGACAACCAATAATTTTTTACTTGCTTTTTTTTTTTTTTTCAAATTTGACCTTAGTGGGTTTATGAAATGCTCATTTAATGCATATAACTTCGACATTTGTCTAGCCATATGGAAAGATCAAACACTTTTAAGAGCATCTAAAGGGATCAAATAGATTAGGCCCTTTGGAGTTTCCCACTTTCATCAAATGGCATCCACCTCGGTTGTTTTGTGAGACCGATGGCAATTCATAATTGGTCCACGTCAAATTGGGTTGCCTACCGGACTTGGGCTCTCGAGTATTCAATGTGAAGGTTTTGTGCTATTTTGCTTATAAATAGGCAATAGTGTCTTTGTCTTCTCACTTTTTGTTATTTTTTTATTCTTATTGTAGTGTGCTTTTAAAGAATTTATAGGATTACTCGTGGATTGATGGTTCTTTGGGGACACTCAAAGAGAATGTTGTTGCTAAAACATTTCTAGGAAAATCCTTCTTCTCAAATGTGAGAAATCTTAGTGGACTAATGTTTTTGAAGAATAATCTAATATGTTTGAAGTTTTTTTTTTTGGCAAGTTGTTGGAGTTTTAATAGGTATATTTTCTTTCTTTTCCTTCATTTTGTGTCTCGGTCGAAATGGTAGATTTAGAATAGGAGATGTATATGAAGTTATTCCTAGTGGTGAGGCAACAAATACTAACGTGGCATGATCGCTCTTCTTAGGCATCCCTAGGTCCGATTCATCGTTTCTAAAGGAGAGTCCTAGTGATGTTTTTGAAAAAAAAATAGTTATCTTTTCTCATCATTTAGGATGGAATTACCTTGCAGTCATCCCCAACTAAAGTGATAAAATAGGGAGGCCTACAACTCGGAGCCATAAATAGGAAGATAAAGATCATTTTTTCCACTTGCATGATTGAGTACAATTATAAATCTCCCCTATATAGGTTTATGATAGAGTTTTTTTTTATCATTTTAGTGTGACTATTTGCCAACTTCATCCAAATAAGTGGATCATTATTAGTGTCTTTGACAATTTCCGTTGATAATTCAAGTTACCTCATCCCCGAGGCCTTTTTTATTTTTTAGTAGAGGCTACTAGAGAGGGTAACGAAGGCTCTATGTATACGCTTTTCTATCCGGAGAAATCAGTCAATAGAAAAAGGTATTTATAGAGGTTGTTGACCTTATTAGTGATAGAGATGAGTGGTTTATAGTTAGGTATAGAGGTTTTGTGCCCATAAGTTGAGCTTGGTCAATTTAAGAATGTATCTCTCTTTAAAAATGGCCTAGAGAAGACTATAATGCCATTTTGACCCGATCCGGTGATGACTTGGATTTTTAGGAGCGGGTGAGAAGTATAGGTGGGAAGTATCGATTCAATTTTTTTGTTAAGGAATTATTATTAACTCATAGCCTACAAGGTAGATGTGCTGATCTTAAGCACTTTCTTCTATCCTTTTTTAGAATTTTGGTTGTTGACTTACTTTTTTGTTTTTTTATAGTTGATGAAACGTCTACAAAAGTGTTTGATTCAAACGTGTTTAGGATGGAGCTTAAGGATTCTAACAAAAGGATGATCTCGTAGGGGAACGTTGGCTTGTTAGGTCCTTCTTCCTTGTTCAAAGCCCACGTCGACGAGGAGGATAAGTGTTGAAGGGGCCCAATCTCCTACGAGGAAGAGAAGAAGGATTGATTCCCCTTTTTCTTAGGTCGGGTGCTTCATTTGTGTAACCTTCGGGGCCTTTATCCTTATCTTTATAAGAGACTTGACTAGCTAGCTTTTTGCTGCAATAATGAGAGTAATTTCTTTATAGTTTTAAAAAATAATGAATTTCTCTTCTCTCGATCCTCATTTCATTTTGTATGGCTTTTTTTTGTTTTTGGCCAAGTGTCGAGTCGGTTTGTTTTGACAAAAGAAGTAATGAGAAAGTCTCTAGAGATGGAGCATGCAGGGGTGTTTGTTGCCTTTGAGGCATTAATAAAGGTGTGGCTACGGACCTTATGTCTTTTTTGTGTCGTTATATATGATTCCGTTAAAATTTCGATGCATCATTGAAGTTGTAGAATGTTGACTGATAGAATGTCGGAACTAGTAAAATCAAAAGGAGTAGAGTGAGTTAGGGTTTTCTAATTGTCAACCGGAGATGAAAACTTGATGATGGAGAAATAAAATAATTGAGGATTGGCTTTTTTCTCAATTCCTCATAGATGATGCCACCGACAAGGTGATGATCTTTGTATTGTGATTGCTGATAAGGTGTCTTCCAATCTAAACTAATTGTATGATAGTTCTAACATAAAAGATGTAGATTTAATGGCTAATGCCTACAAAATTAGAGGACCCTCCGACGCCTAATTTAGCTTACGTAGAAAGATGTTCATCCCGAATACGACGTAAAAAGATTAGCTCTTATGCGTAGGTGATAGTTAATAGTATAGTTATTTTGAATTTAGAAAACATAGCATGTAATATTTGGTTTATTAACTTTTATGTAAAAAGATATGTGATCAATTTATATAGAATAGATGATAGATTGATTATTATTATTATTATTTTGTTGGATAGTTTTTGACATTCACTCGAGCGTTTGAAATCTTTTTAAACTATAGTCATTATCTAATGATACGTGTACGATTATGTTAGTGTTGATATAAAACAGACATCAGAAAAAGTTACAATTTCATCAAGTGAATGTCTTTTTTATCCATCAAGGTTAAAAGACATCGTTTTAATTTGGGTCATTCGTCTATACTATTTTGTAGGGTCCCAGTCGTGGTCGCTACTGGTAGCTACTAGCTAGTCAGAATTATTATGTTTAAGACGACCTTCTCGATCAAGCGGTTTTTAAATAAAGCATGGAGACGCGTGTCATAATTACAATCGTGCATGTATATAAGTTACGACATGACAAAGAAAACTATGGCAATATTTGTTTTCGACTCCCGAGAGTAGCCGTGGCAGTAAAAAACGAAAAACATGATTTTAAGAGAAAGATCGTCTAGATTGGTATCTTTTGAGGTTTTATCTTTGCACTCGGTATTGTGAGAAGAACTGAGAAAAGAGGAGTGGATAAATAAAACTCAATGGTTTGCTATTTGGATTTTCGATGAAATATTATATGGTAGTTTTTAATGGCAAAGTATCGTCATAATATTTTTGGTTTAATGGTATTTTTTGCCCTTAAACTATTAGGATTGTAGAAAATTGAGACTTATAATGTTAATTTTGTTAATCTTGAACTTGAACTATACTATTTTAGACAAATATTGTCCGTCTGGTTGCTTTGACCATCGGTATTGATTAAAACCCTTTTAAAAAATTCAAATTTTGGTATTTTTCACTAATTTTTTTTTATATATAAGTATATTAAAATTCAATCCACTTTCACACATAATTTCAAAAGTTTTCGGTATTTTCAACTGAAATTTTTTATAAAAGTAAATTAAAATTCAATCCACTTTCACAAATAATTTTTTTTTTTTAATTTAGAGTTTTTTTCCTGAATTATAAAAAAATAAAAAATAAAATAGAATTTTTTTTTTTAAGTTCTAAGGAGGATATATGAATTTATGTAGGTTATTTTAGCGTGATTCTCAAAAATTTTACATATGTAATTTTGAAAATTAATCTATTTTAAGATTGGTTAAGTATTACAAATTCTACCGTACAGATATTTTGAGAATTATATTAAGAATAAACATATAAAATATATGATTTTTGTTTATTTCTTAAAAATTTTGTAACTTTTATTTTATTTTATTTTTTGAGATATGTTAACTATTATATTCCTAAATATTTTATGACAATTATTTTTAAAAATAATGTTTTTTTCCGTTGACTTTTTCAAAAAAAATTTAATTGGTAGTCATCTTTCAGTTTAATGCAATTTAATCCAACTGGATTATATTGACTACAATAATATATTTCAAATGATTATTGCATTATAAGTACATTAACTTTTATCATTATTTTCAATCGAGCTATGGATTTTAATTTTTTTTAACACACCAATTTTTTTAAAACAACTAATTAAATATTTTTCATCTAACTTTTGTCTTTTTTTTAATCTGATGACATGTCTTTTTTACATACTACTAGATTATGATTTTTCTATTTGATTTTTTGAGAGAAATTTTCCCC